ACAGAAACACACGATCAAACGACTGCGAAAACAGGCACGTCACAACACGGAGTTTCTCTCTGCTGTCCCTGGTCGTGTTTGGAACATCACGGACGAGTTGACCGTCGGTTACCACGGTAGCCGGTTGGTAACACATTCAAGATGTGTGCCGTATACCGGAAAGACCACGATTCCTAGGGACGACATGGGGCAAACTGTGCCCGATATAGTGTGCAGACGTGCCTGTAGAGATGGGGCAGCATGATATCAGGTGGACCATGGGTCAGACCGCGGCGGTCCGAACTGGCAAGGTGTCTGAGTCAATGACTCACCACAGACCACACTGCGCATATACTGCGCATCAGTGACTCACAGCGAGCCGCTGGAAATAGCTCCCACAGCCGCCGCGAGGTGACACAGCCCCAGTGACCGGCGCCCAGCCCAGCGCAGTTCCAGGGGAGGTCAGTCCCGACCCGGGGCCGCGCAGGTAGCCACTGATTCACATCGCTGTCCGGCGCACATTCCTCACACACCTACATAACCTTGAATTCCAGGCCCTCAACCTTGAGTCCACACATAACCCAAGACGGTTGCCCGCTATCTCAGCCGCTGGTTAATGGCTGAATGACCGCCATGCAGCAACACGAACCGATTCGGTCGACCGTGAACAGTTCGCCCGCCGAGATGTGCTCTCGGGAGGCCAGCAGTGTCAGTGGCCGCCGCTCACGACCGGATGTCACGACTCACGAGCCGTCACGATCGGAGGAGCGCAGCGGAACCACGCCGACACGCACCACCGAACACACCGGCGAACGGGATGATTTTCGAAACAGCTCGGCTATGAAATGAACCGCGAGGGAAAAAGGTAAACACCAATCCATGAATCGAAATTCACGCCGCTCCGGTATTCATGATATGGAGATTTTCTCACGGTGTTTCCGCCGGGCGGTTGATATACGACGGCGTCGAAATTATACACGCGCTGCTCTGTGTACTGTTTGATGAACAGCATAACAAGTCACTCACATATCCCCGTGCGCCTGCCGTGATTGAAGCAGAATTGATCTGCATCAACAGCGGGTATGAGTGGGTGAATAACGTGACAGCCGGTCGTGCCGGTGCCGCCCCGACCCGCCTGACCTCGCCTGGCCCACTGAGACGCCCCCAAAAACACCGCGCCGGTCGTGCCGTGACCGCCGGAAAAACGCACGGCGAACGGCACGGAACCCGCTCGAGGAGAAAGTATACGGTCCGTGGATCAGCGCAGGGCGGGGCGGCGATACGGAAAAGGCGTTACGGGCCGAGCGGTACGGGACACGTCCTGGACCGCTATGCTCCGCGGTACTATCCAGTACCTCACGGCCGTCGCTGCCCCCCTCAGCATGTCGCCGAGCCGGTACACCCCTGGCCAGCGACAGCAGCTTAGCCGCCGGATTGGGACCGTCCGCCCCCGCCCCCGCCCGCGCCGACCCGGGCGGGCCGTCGATCCAAGGTCGTCGGCGCGACGCAGCGCATTCTTTGCCGGCCACCGCTCGACGGGTGTCGGCGGAAAGAGAAAGGCCCCTCTCCGGCCGGGCGGCGCCGCCTCCGGTAGCCGCCCAGGCCGGCGGCGGGGGGCCGCCCGGTGGCCACCGCTTTTTCCACCGTCCCTAATGACGCCCGGGGCCGGTAAATTACATCCCCGGCGGTAGCAGACCGCCCTGGACCGCCATGGGCCCTCGCTGTGCCCTCGTTTGGCCCCGAGCAAGTCCGCCGTTCACCCCAGCCCCTTCCCAAAGCATCTACAGCCCCGCCGGAGGCCAGTTTGAATCGCCGCGCGCTGAGGGCAGAGGAATGCGGCGTCGCCCGCCCACCGGCACCGCGGCACGCCGGGGTATGAACCGGGACTGGGCCGGATGGGACCGCGCGCAGCGGCCGATTAACAAACACTTGCCGCTGCGGGACACCGCCGGGAGGCTGTTTGTGTGTTTGTGCGTGTGTGCAGCTCCCACCGTCGGCTCGCCAGTCGGCGGGGGGCCTTCGAAGACGACACCCGAAACCGGACGAGGGCGGCGCAGGACCACCCGACTGGGGTGCGGCGTAAAGGTGGGGAGAGCGTAACGAACCCAGATTGGTCACACTCGCCACCGCCAGCCGCCTCCACCCAGCCAGTTCGCAGGGAGTGGACCCCACGCAGACAATACCGAGACCATTACTCGAGTCATGAAAGCGATATTTTCGTTGGAAACTGTCCGAACGCCACCATCACCACGCAAACAGTCGTGAGAAATTCAGTTCGAGCGAGGATGGCCGGCCGCAGGCTCCCCCAAATGTTCAGTCTGGTCACCTACAGAACGCCACCATACAACATCATAACGACAAGCTAATGGAGACAGGCTAATCATGACGACAAAATAATAACTACCGCATAATCACCGCTCCCCACCGCCGACCAGCCGCCGGCTCAGGGGACAGGTCAGCGGCCCGAGGTCACGGGGCGGGTCAGAGGTCACGCCGGAGGCCGGGCCGCTCCCACGCGGCGAGCATCCGCCCCCAGAGAGGGTCATTACGCGGTCACGACACCGGCCTCTGTCCCGGCACCCGTGTGTCCCAGGAGGGGAACAATAGTCCTGCCCGCTACCTGGCCGGACAGGGCCGGGCGACGGGACAAAGCACTGGTGTCTACACCTACAATCTACAGCTACAGCATTGAGTGTCTTCTGGTGACGGCGGACATACCATAGTCCGTGTTCTGTGAGCACCTCTGTGACGTCACTCAGGCATCCGACTGACGTCATACCAGTCGTTTTTGCATTGTCATGGCGCCTTCATGGCTCAATTTGCATACCACAACACCCATGGCGCGTTAACTCTGCAACCTTTGGCAACATAGGTACCGGTCCTCTGTGCAGCAGGATTACCCTGTACTACGACAAGCGTCTCTCCCTTTTCTGACCGCGAGTTTGTCTGCTCCCCGTGCATAGTTACGTCACTATCCCGGTTCTTACGACCGAACGCCAGGCCAAGAATGCGGCCTTCTGGTGCGTTCCGCCCCACCGCGGTCACCTTCCTTTCCCCAGCGGCACCCCTTTGTGCGGTTCCCCACACCGACGAGACTGCCAGGAACGAACACCGCCGCCCGCTCCCGCCGGTCGACAATGGCGAGGGCTCTCCACTGGAGGACCCGCCGAGGACCATCCACTGGAGGACCCTCATAGAACCCTCTGAGGACCCTCTGAGGACTCTCAGTCCAGCGGAGCCGGCATTCCTTCGCGCCAGAAAGTGGCGCGGGAACGGCCGCCGGGAGGAGTGGCCCGAGCGCAGACAATGGAAAATTGAATATTTATCATGGTAGCTGCCAGGAGGAGGAACGAGTTGATAACCGGCGCCAACTGTGGGCGCATTCCATCCGCCTCAGCCGCTATAGCAGCGTGAACCAACGAGGCACCCGATACAAACTGAATTAATGGAACCGGAATGCCATTGACAACGGGAAAATCGGCCGCGCCCCGACAGGTTTTCGGCACGGGTTGTGTTCAGGCCAGCACCGGTATCTGAGCCGCGCGGCGGTTTTATTTTGGTGGTACCGTTCATTTGCAGTGTTCGGGACACGGGCAGGCGATGGGTCATCCCACCGACGAAAGAGGGCCGTCCCCGTCTGCCACTATCCGGTCACTGCCCAGCCCCGAGCCAGTCTGCGGCTGACGGATAGGACCGAATACAAACAAACCGACCGTCAACCGCGGCCCACCGCCGCCGCCGCCTCAGACCGTCACCGCGGCCGCCGCCACCGCTTCAAACGCCACTGCCGGGGGCATCGCGCCGCAGCTTCAAACGTCACCGTTTCAGACGCCGCCACCGCCACCAGAAACGTTACCGCCGGGAGCATCATGCCGCCGCCGACCGCCGGCATCTCCGCAGCCACTCCGTCGTTTTATTCCGCCACCCGCGCCACATTCGTCGACAGCCTCCATTAAGCCCGTCCATTGTGCCGTGTGACGGAGGGGTAGGGGTCGAAAAGGCGCGCTGTCCGAGTGTCAGGGGCGAGATGGGACGCCGATAATCTGCCCTCCATCACGGCATGTTTTAGCGTGCCACCTCCACCGCCGCCACCACACCCTCCACCGCTTCCCCACAATCCAGCGCCGGTTGGAACAGGGCGGATATCGCGTTTCCGCTGGCCCCGCTCCAGCAGGCAGGTATGTGGTCGGGTCGGGTCGGGTCGGGACCGCGCGCCGACCTGTCGAGTCGTCACGCACAGGAACCAAAGAACGCCGCAGACGTGGCTGACGTGCGCGGCGCGCGAGCTACATTCGTGACCTGCGGCGTGACCTTCAACCGGATCCTGCAGAGGATAGTGGAACGCGAACACTGCGTGCGCGTTACTGAGAGTGACCGACTACCGGCTGACGATCAGAAGACACTCTGAATTTTAACGAATACCTGATACGGGATTGCTGTGGGATCTGCTGGTCATGGAATGCGGGAAGCTTGATGAAATCGATTAGGCTTGAGTCTGAGTATGAATTCGAAATCCCAGCTTTAGACATCCGTCCCTGTTTCAATCCAGACGCATGCCGTCAGATAAGACGAATCGATATCAGTGTCTGTGGCTCTGTTTCACCGCAATCCTCTGCTGTCGCCGTCAACATGATGGAACTGTTTCAGCAGGCCATGGTAACCACAGAGTTCACCTACCTAGACTACTAAGCAGTCTTCTGAAGGCATACTAACTACTGAACTGGCCTGGGGCAGCGCACATGACGATTGCGGTAACACAATGCGGCCAGGGACACTAGGCTACAAGGTGATTTCCCACGGAAAAGGCAACAGATGCTACCCTCAACAGAATAATGAATGTTTCCACATCTTCGGTGGAGGCATGAACTAATCTGCATCATCCATGGCCACTCGAACAATAAAAATACCACCACAGGTTTATCAACCATGTCAACGTGAGGCTTGGAGTACAAACAACGGCGTGGGCTTTGACACTAAAAGCTGACGAGGAGAAGGGAAGAGTAGTGTGGCCTGTGACTGACCTCGCTGGACCGGATGATGATCCTGTAGCACGGGTAGACGGCCGGCTGGGCGCCCCTCTCCGCGGGCCGTCCCTCCAGCTGGTCTCTTCTGACGCTAACGGCCACCGGGCCGAGAACGTCATCCGTGCCCACCCAGTTCTCATGTTCTGTGGAAACACAGACACACACACACACCAGTCAGAACAAATACTACATACACTGGTAACAGTCAGAGAACAGACGCAGACACACAGACAGCTGCGGCGTCCAGAGCCGCACACAGATACCACACACCGATAACCACTCGAACAAATACTAGCTTATTTGGGCAGCTGTGAAACGAATTGGCTCCGTCTGTATACGGCATTATCCAATCAGCTCCGCGCGTGCTATCTGGGAGCTGCACGTGGCGTTATCAGACCACTCGGGAACAACTACGAAACACCGCGACACATGATTTAGGATCAAGGGGGAGAACTGTGGGATGGTGATTAGAGAGGAGTGGGATGATCGAGGTTGGAGTAGGGTGATAAAGGATTTACACGCCCACCCCGAGCTGCCGGAAACTAGGACAGTTCGGTGACCCGAGCGAGCAAGGCGATCGATAGCTGCCCGGGCCAGCCAGCCGACATGACCCAGCCAGCCAGCCACCGCTCCAACGAGACCACACTGGAGCAGGGATCCGCAGCCCCAGGAACGACGCCCAGCCGGGAGGGAGGCCCCTCCCTCCCCCGCCCCGCGAGCAGTTTCCACAACGCCCGCCCCAGTCCCAGGCTGGGTGTCACCCGACGGCTGAGGCAGCCCGATCGATCCCCGCTAAAACTTCAAACAAAGCAGCTTTGGACCACCAACACGTCAGCCTTCGGCTTGTGCGGCAGGGAGGTGATAGCTATTGACATCGTGCGGTCTCAAGACGTTGCGTGGGGGCGCGCGGGACTGGGTGGTTCGTGCGTGGCTGGTGAACGGTACCCTGTTGAAATGGATGCTCGATTGAAAGCTGAATTGAACCGTCAAAACACTCCCAGCTTGATCGGTGAGATTGACGGCTCGCAAGCGGCTCACCGTAAACAAACGTCAGCATTTGCAGCATCTTGATAAACTGGGCAGGTGCGGCGAAAGTACCAAACTATGCGACCGCACTCTGAATTGTTTATAATGATTGGACCAAACATAAATTTCACACAGGTTATCAGTTATCACACATCAGTTCAATGACAAACTGATTTCAAACAGGTCACAACACTACCATGAAACGAATTTCATACCGACGCTAAGTGAGTCACTCAGCTCATTTTTCCTCAATAACGGCACATACTACCCCGACGAGCATTCCTTTCTGGAAATAATTCCTTCCTCTCTCAAGTTGGAACATCTGGTCCCACTGCCTTTCGCTACAACCGTCGTCCCGTTCGCCTCGTTTGCACTCTGCAGTTGTACGCCGCGGAACCGTTAGCCGTTCATTCCCGACTGTCCTGTACGCTGTTCCGTGTGCCCTGTGTGCTTATTTGTCCTTGTTTGCACGCCGGGCCCGGCTGCCAGCTGACATGCACGTGGTGGGCTCACAGCCCGGCCCGGCCGGCCGGCAGCGTGACACGTCGCCGGCGCCACCCCTGTCATGCAACGCCACATTAGTGGGACTGAGTCAGCGCGCTCGCCATCGCCACTGTTGAGCGCCGGCCAGAATCGTCATCGACCCACAGAGTCACAAAATGGGCCGGGTCATTACTCAAATCAACATCGCTGACTTCCAGCCGCGTCGGTTGAGCCGACGTCATCGATGTTGTCGTCATCGGCGTCGACACGGCGGCGCCAGTCTGACCGTGGAGCCGCTCTCATTCTGACACGGACATGGCACTGGCGGCAGCGCTCTCAAAACACGCCTGTTCTGTCTCAGCGCGCCGCGCTGCTGCCAGGCACCGGGTCAGGCCGGCCGCTGACCCCGCGCGGCCGGGGTCACAAGGTCACGGCTCGGGATCGCACTGAAAACAATTCAACCCGCGTACAGCGAGTAAAACCCGCTGCTGGCGGGTACACCTACCCACCACCTAATTTGACACCCTACCAGCGGGTGCGTTTACCCGCATATCGCAGGCTGTCAACCCGAGTATATTGTGTACAGTCACCAGCAGTTGCTACCCATCACCCCCGGACGGCGGGGGAGCAAGCTACCACCGCCCCTGCGAGACTAGCGCCGCCATGCGCCAAGAAGTGGAAACACCACGTGACTGAGGCCACGTGAGGGCAGGGTCACGTGATGGAGGGGCGGAGCATAGTAGCTTTTGCGCCCGACACTAACTGAAATGCGGCGCTGTGATGGAGCGCCTTAGCATGAATGAAGCCCCGGCGCCAGAATCAGCCGTTCGCCTCATATGGAAAGTGAGCCTTTGCGTTTCACTGTTCTGTATTGGTTTGAGAGCCACGGCACCATACGAATTGTGAGCGCCTTTGAACGGGTCACCGCCCGAGGCACTGAGGCGACGGCTGTGCCGGACAAAATCTAGCCTGGTGGGAGAGGTGGGCCAGGGAAAGTGCGATCGAGCAGCCACTGGGACGTGGATTGGTATTATCCAACCGCGACAAACGATGTCAGCAACCTCTTCTCGTGTCATAGACAGTGTCTATGACACGAAAAGCTAGACAGACAACGTGGGCAGTGCCCTATCAAAAGCTACTAAACGATCCAGTTAAGAAGTTGGTGAGTTAGCCAGACCAAATAAAAAGTTTTTAATTCGATTTTGGTTGACAAATGACATACAAGCCCGCTGTGATGGACCAAAAAAGGAGCTGAACAGTTCATACAACTTCTAAAAAGCTCAACGATTTTAAAATTCAAAAGTTAGTTAATTGTTAAACTTCAGCCTGCATGTTTAAACTCTGGTCCGGCGCTGGCAGGAAGCTTATATTGCCACTTGCAATTCCACTACGTTGTAATATAACCAATATTTCTGTGAGAGCAGCAACTGAAAGCCCCGGCGCTGAGAGGGGGGAGGGCGGCGCGAAACGGCCCCCTCTCTCCTTTTCAGTCGATATCTCCTAAAGTATAGCAAATGTCGCCACCAAACTTTCAAGACCCCTCCGGGCATCATTTTTACACCTTGTAACCAAATTTTTCCAGAGCTCTTATAAAGGTTAGTCACAAATGACGTCAGAGGGATGTCATGTTCTGTCACTTTCGACCCAATAAAAGGTTTAGCGGGAAGAGCTGTCACGCTTACAGTTTTGAAGATAACGAAAAATATTCAAGATAAAAAAGATGTCAAATAAACAGCGCTACCAAACTGCTAACTCTTATTAATCGGTGAAAAATGCGACCTTTGACCTGACTTGTGACGTCATGGGTTGCACCCAGGTCAACGAAACCTGGTAACAAGGTAGTTCCCTGGTGGGGCTATCGAACGCTCTTTGAATGTTCAAAATCGGTCGGTAACTTTCCGAGATCTCAGGTGGAAGGCGAAACGGCTGCACCACCCGATCAGGTGGTATAGGGTCTGCCAATAACCCAAGGGGGCGCGGATTATTTATTCACTCATACAGTGTCATTTATTTTGAGAACACCTTTCTCACGCCATGACATGGTCCTCCCGTAATAGAACGAGATGAGGAGAGTGTTTTCACGCCTCCTTATGCACGGCTCTAAGTGTCATTGAGCTATCAACTCCCACCGGTTTTCGGACAATAAAGTTCTTAGTTCTTACTGAATCCAATTTTATTTCAAACAATTGTCACTGTGCTGGTTTCATTATTTTACGTTTTTGAAAAAGCGCTGAAGAAGTCTTTGATAGACGAAACCGGTCCGCTTATTCTTTTTCTAATTGTTTTTTTTTTAAAATATATTCGTAGACTACTGGCTCTTTACTACAAAATTTGAGAATGTTTGGTATTACTTTGACCCGAACGATGTGCAGCTGAATTTTCCCTCTTGAATGATTATGGACAGCTCGCGAAATTAACTTCAACCATAAACTACCGACAAGCAGAAGAAAATCCGATACAAGCCTACCTCAATCCTCTCACCTTATTCAACCGTTGGAACGTTAAAGGCATTTGTTCAGTCCGAGTCGCTATGTCGACCACCCGCGCCGTGCTGGGGGCCGGGGGGGGGGCGTTTTTATGCCCTTCCCCCCTCAGGTTTATCGCGAATATCTCAAAAACGGCAACGCGACGCGTAGCGTCATTCAAGGTCAGGTCACCAGGTAACGTCAAGTGACCTTACCTCAGAAAAAAAATCGAAAGCTCGCTGTAGCTAAACAAACCGACTGAGCGATCACTTTAAATCTTTCAGTAATTGCGTAGGGTAGCAGTATGTATAAAATGGATACCTCGGATTTTTTTATGTCTGTGACCTAAGGTCAGGTCAATTTTGCGAGAGCTGCATTAGGTATAAGTCAATGGGAGAAAATTGAAATGCGCCTCTTTTGGACGAATTTCGTTCTACACCCTCTCAAACATCGGTCCATAAGTAAACATGACACACTGAATCGGAAAATTGCACCTGTGACCCCTGTGTGTGCCCCTGAGGTCATTTTAGGACATAAAAGGTCTTCAGCAGTTTTTTTTTTCTTTTGACAGAGACGTGCTAGAGCGGTGAAAACATCGTTGATCTGAGGTCAAATTTGAGCTCAATCAGAGCGGTGCCCTCTGGGGGCTAAGCCGTCGATCTGCGGCCAAATTTGAGGACATGTTGGCGAAAGAGCGTTAAAAGAGCTATCGAATGCGCTTTTCCGCGGCACTGTAGCTCTACTGGTTCCCGAGTTAGCCGTCGGGTGTTAAAAATCGTTTGAAATCAACAAAATTTGACCTTTGATGAACCCTGGTGACCTGACCTTTGCCCTGACCTTAAAATGACCGAGTGTTTTCCTCCTAATTTTTGGCGCTCTTTCGATTGACGCTTACCGCGTGTCGCTACGTGGCCCAGGAGCCGAGTTAGACGGAGGGGCGTGAAACGCCCCCCCCCCCCCCCCAGCACTCGACGGAAAGTTCATGCCATCAACACGGCGCGGGTTAATTGTTATGTTAGGTAGCTCCTGCTGTAAGCTGTGGAGTGTGGAGTCGTGGACCTGATCTTGAAGGAACTGGGCCTAACATTTTAATAGCAAACGTAAAAAATGTTTAATAGGTTGTGCAAAAAAATAGCATCTCTTTTATGAAACATTTGCGAAACCTTCAA